GGGCGCCAACAAGTGAAGTGAGTAATGAGAAAAAAGAACGTGTCTAATAATTTGTCTTAGTTTGGCAACAAGTGCCATGCTGCCAAAGACCAGGTGAGGGAGAAGCCTTTTCAATTTAGTGTCAATGCGATTGAAATTATGGCACATTTATGTGCCAATGCGAATTAGCGTTACTCACAAATAAGTGTGTAATAACCAGCCTGTTCCACACTAGTGACAAATGTCAGAGGGTCGGTGTACAATTTTAATTTATCTGAAAAGTAATAATCAAAATTATGAGCATTTTTATTACGATAACGTGTGTCTTATTTAGCGCTTTAGTTTGAACGATGTTTATTGCCAAAGTATAGTTCCTTGGAGCTATAAGGAAGGAATAATAGGAATCTATTAATTGCTTTGTAAGATATTGAATTTTCTGGGCATGACTTTCACATTTGCGCTGTCGTTACAGCCAAACTCATTATCAAAATTTTTCGATTTGTTAACGATTCTGCTTTCTGATTTGTTAACGATTCTACCAGATTAAAATTTCACTCGATATATTTTAATATCTAGCACAGGTGTACTAATAAAGCTTAACAAACGCTAGTGATTCCTGCACCAACAGGCTGCGGCTTGCCGCCATGCGCACGCCTGCATCATGTTGAGCTTTCACCTGTAGCGCTGCATCTGCGCTGTGTTCAACATCCCACGTAACGCCCAGCATCTCAAAATAACTCATAGGAGGAACTGTTGCTGCTGCCATCTAGCCCGCACTCGTGCCAAAAGATTTCTCTAGAGCCGCTAGGCGCCGCAAACAGAAGTGATCTTCCTATAAGCCACAATCAACTGCCAATTTTACCGTTAACTAAGTTTATGAATTGACTGGTTACCATAGATTGGGATTCTTTAAAGATCATTACAAGAACGATTTTGAATAATTTGCCTCCATCAATTGCCAAGTTTACAGAATTGCTCTACATTCATATATATTGTTTGAACTATATTGTCCATCGATATATTTTTGTGTACTAGAATAATCGATCAGACGAGCGGTTTGATCCGGAATGAAATTTCATCGATCGTTTTGATCACAACTAAAAAAAACCTAAATCAATCTGATGTCTTCAATAAAACTCTTACTGTACATCAACAGTGAAGGTATTTGTGACATGGTCAATCAGGATCAGCATTGTCCTACCAATTACGTTTAGGATACAAGCTTGACTCTCGCCAAGAATACTAACTCAGAGTCCAAGTCCTTCATATAACCTCCTCAGTTGATTGATTGTATCATGGTTTGTATCTCATCCCACGCATCTCAGTGAACATGGAATATGCGAGGCGCACTATCAACAATCGCAAAATGGGGTAAATAAGTAACGTGTGAGATCAATTACTCGTTTATTAGAAATTCCTAGTTACAAAGACAGAATGGTTATTGGGCTCGAAACAGGAACTATTTACTCATGGTAGGACAAATCGAAATTCTGCAAATTTACTCATGGTAGCTTTGGTAGGACAAATCGAAATTCACCAAACAAGAGTTTTTCAGACCAAATTCGCTGTAATAATACTTGATTCCATATAATGAACTAAAATTTTTGATTAATTTATCTTAAAAACACAAAGCAAAATCGAACCAGCTTTATAGAAATTCATGCTGGAGAATTTCAGCCAAAATGGTGTTTGCGCCATGAAGATAATGTTTCCTACTTAGATCTGCAGCGCAGTAGGAGGTGAGCGAGTCAATTCGGAGAGTAAAGGCGATGCGTAATAAAGGTGGCTTAATTTAAGCCAAGCAGCAGCCATTTGTATTCATCATGTCGTTAGCTCTCATAAAGATAAATTATATTATTACGAGTAAATGACGTCACAGGAACTGGAAATATCTGAGGATGGCTTTGCTTTCGTAGGAATTTTGATTAAGTGATACAGTTTTACTGTAATTCATGTTTTCTTCTTCCCACTGTTTCAAATTGACGTACCTGTACAAAATTAGATCATGATGGATAAAAAAACTGAGGAGCGAATAACAAACAATAAATCCCTCTTATTCGAATCAAGATGTTCTTGTTTATATAAACAGAACTAAACTGAGTATAGTAGTTTTTACTTCAATATCATCAATATGAGTGAGTGTGGAGCATTTAGTTATTATATATTACGGGGAATTAATTGGATCATTTGAGAGCTTCAACAAAGCATCTTAACAAACGCTTAAGCAAAGAAAGAAATTTGTGACGTTGCCTTTGTAGAAATTAGTTATTGACCGCATATTCTAGAGATATAATAATAATAAAAAAATCAGCATAAAATGTCAAAAAGCCTCTTAACCCACTAGCCTCTATTTCACCTGGACATTGGTGAGACTACTTACACCCGTAAGAAATAACAGGGAACTGAATAAATATATTTGATTAAAGTTAAAAGTATATCTTTACTTGAATATTTTAATTCAGATACAATAAAAAAATAATAATAAATAGGAGTCATAATATGCAAGTGGCTTAGAACACATTAAATATTTCTTGCAAGCAGATTGTTAATGCGGCATCAAGGATCCGTTTTCGTGGAGTTCATGAAGTCTTTTTGCTTTGTGAATGACCCATAATGAAAATATGATGAAAATTCTTCGATAGTACCTATCTATTTAAATTGTATTAAACGGTGTAAATAAATTAAAGTGTTCAGTAGTTTTTTAAACACCCTGAAAGCTACACTTAAGCCCCCAGTAAAGTCACATATCATGTCTATGACGTTTAAGTGCATGTACTTGTGGTAAAGAACATTGTGGTTTATTTGTAGAAAATAAGCTGAAGCTACTTTAGTAACGTGGACGAACTATTGTAGATGAATATTCGTAATCACAATAATGGTGACATAGAAATAACAAATCTAATCAAATAGTACAATACTCGTAGTTTGAATGTATTACCTTATATAAACATAGCATCACAAAATGCAAAACAGTACATCGCATCATTCAACAGTGTTCTAAATGAGCTCTGTTTTTCGTCGCATGATAATGGCTATATATATACACAACGTACCCAAAATGATGTGCATGATACATCGCATCCACATGATGGACATGAGACATAGCATCATACTTCACTTGAAGTTATATCTGGACATTACCGACGCTCACAACCGTAAAATTCCTTCCTTGTTTCCCAGAAGATAAATTTTCAAACAAAACAAATGTTCTCGATGTTTTGGCACGGTGCATATGACGGTGCTGGCTGGGTTTTGATATCACTACACATTTGCGACAAGAGTCGCACAGAATTAAATGCGATTCTCAAGCCGGTTCCAACCGAGTTCTCTCACCTGTAAGCTTTTGGGTCCAGCTTGAACAACGCAATATTCAGCATTTCCTCGTTATCCAAGGCTTTTTCAAAGCTAGGGAAACCATATAAAATGAACCTTCTTCATGTTATGCAACGTAGTATCACAACACTGTCATTCTCTAAAGAACATGAGGACCACGGACAGGCTGTTAAGTATTACAAGTTTGAACTATCAATGACCATGATTGCATAGTGCATATATTATATATTGACTTGGACAAAAGCCTGAAGCTTCGCTTCGCTACTCGTTATTAGCACAGAAAATGCCAAACAAAAGTAGCAAAATTTATTTTTAATTTGGACAGAAAAAATGTTTGTTCAGTTTCACCCCCTACTCCCATCGAATTTCAAAGCCAAAGAAAAACGAATCCAAACAAACTTCGAAGAAAGGTCAATTAAGAGGACGCATTCTAGCAGCTTCGAGGCAAACAATTCGTGGCAAAACTTCAAACGTAAACACTAAAGTCGTAATAGCTGATCGTTACCAAGACAAGCAGCGCCATCACGGAGCATGAATAAGATAGGAACTGAAGCTGCGCGATGACTTTTGTTGGCAATTTTTCACTCGCTAATTGTTTGGTCAACTGATGATACATGCCAACTAAAGTATTTTTACAATGTTCACAGACGAGGCACGAGTATGCATGCGTGATGGATGAATCATAATGGGTATATTTCCACACATGGTTTTTCAATATGTATCGGTCATGAACATGAAACATTTTACTGCTATGGTTTTATAATGGAAGAACAGAAGATATTACGGTAAATATAATACAGGGTGATTCACGGAAACTGGTTTGTTTTTCGCGCCAAGCATCCAGATGTTGTAGGAAAAGGACGGGGAGTATTACATATGAAAGGCCAGAAGAGGAAGTTTTCAATCCTGTCCCGCCTTGTCAGTCGCCACTATGCATTGGACAAGTGAGCAGCGTGCGATTGCTGTCGAGGCGTATTTTTTGATGGCCGTTTTGCAGAGTTGTCTTCGTCCGAGACAACATTTTGAACAGGACCTAATCTCCTTGAGAGGTGGACTTCTTTGGACAGCCCGATCCTAAGATTTGGCTCCATGTGATTTTTTATGGGGTTATCTTAAATCAATTGTTTACAATGACTGTCCAAGAAACCTACCTCATTTGAAGAACAACATACGCCAAGCCATCGCCAACATACCCATTAATATGCTTCAGCGAGTTAAACGGAATTTGAAAATCGACCAACTGAATGCATTGACAATGGGGGCCGTCATTCGTCCGATGTCATCCTTAAAACTAAGTGATACAAAAATTCAGGTATATAATGTCTTTTCCAATAAAATATATATTGATTTTTTTTACTAATTATTTTTTTAATGAGCTTTTAGATCAGGAAGTTTCCGTGAATTACCTGTATTTTTACACAACATTCGTGACCGGATTACTACAAACTTATAAGTTTAAAAGGCTACAGATAAATCAAATTTCCGATTAGCTGTTTCAATCACAACCCTTCAATTCCATGCTCACCTGAAATTACGAATATGCTAAATATCTTTCAAAACATTAGAGGCAATCATCGACGCAATTTCAATCCAAGATTGTTCACTTAATGAAAATAAATAACACTCGGCTATAGGTGCACCATATCTCTTTAAAAATTTATAGGATGAAATAAATGGCAAAGATGATGGCCGGTTGTAGCTCATTTGTCTATGACGTTCCAACAAAAATTTACTATAATGGCGTAACATCACAGTTCACACTACCGTAGTACGTATCACACGAATACAGCGCAGACTTTTATAAGTACTGCGGTAACCTTACAGTAAAAACATCTATGTGGCACTCACAGATTCAAACCATTGACAGAAATTTAAAAGGTTCAGACAAGTGAAGAAAGTATGAAATAAAAATCTTTACAATCTTTATGCACGATAGTTCAACTCATCTTAAACGCAATCAATAAGTTTCCGAACTTTAGAAAGTTGTACTCAATTGTATTTAAGAGCACAGGACGTTCTTCTATACTGTATAACTGAAATTTTTTATATAAAAAAATAAACAAAAAAGGCAGAGTGGATAATGAGTATATATTCATTGCGTCATTAAAGCATACTCTACCGACGTGTTCCTCCGTGCCGAATTCGGTCATAGACATTAATAGTGGGGCGTAATCGTGACTGTAGTGATCTTTCATATTATTTATTATAAATCATTATTAGAGAGATAATAATCGGATAAAATCACAAACAGTTCATTTATCTACAGATAATATACTACTAGAAAAAAAATACTTGCTTAAAATATAATTTACATGTTTTAACGACCGATTTACTATCGGGCAAAGACTTTTCCTTGTAAAACGAAGTTTGCGAAAAAAAACGCGCTGGCCTCAACACGTTTTCTACAATTAAAATTAGTTTGCTAAATACCTATAGCCTGCAAATATTGCGAGCCAAATAAGTTCATACGAAACTTAGGAATTAGTTTAATTCACAAAGAGAGCTGAGAAGCAAGTAACTCCTCCAAACAGAAGCCAATGCTAAAGACACTATACAATATACAAACTATATAGAATAATACAAAGTACTCGACTTCATTTCTCGGGAAGAGGAATGGCAGGAGCCGGACACGGAATAGGTTCTTTAATGACGTCTTCTTTCTCTTCGGTAACGACGGCATCTTTCAAAGCACCGTCTGTTACTGAGCCGGAGTTTCCACTGACATCGTTAGTGTTGTTGTTGGTTTCTGTAGCGGCCGTCGATTCGGACGGTTTGTCATCAGCTGGCGCTGTCGATGATTTGTTTTCTTCGGAAGTAAGAGAGTCGTAAGCAGTCGGAGCGACGTCGCATTTCGTGTTATCCGGATCTTTCGAAGCGCTTTCTTGGGAAGGGCCGGCGAGGGAAGGTGATGTTTCCTTTGCAGAGTCCGTTACTCCCACAGCGGCAGGATCACCGTATTCGGTGGGAGGAGCTGGAGATTTTTCCTCAGCAGCTGCAGCCGAGCCAGCTGACGCTTTCTTTTCTAGGAGCGAAATTTTAGAATTGATGTCCTTAATGAGGTTCTTTCTGGCTTGTCTGATCTCGGCGTTGCCATCGGGATCAATATCGTCTAGAGAAATGAGGGCTCGCGTGAGCATCTCGTCTAAATAAAGAAATTCACGATCTTTCTTCGTGCCCGTAAAAGCGTCGACTTTTTGCATGAATTCCTCGGTTTTACTCCTTACCTGCTCGATCTTCTCCAAGGGCGTGAGTTTGACAGGGGGAGGGGGAGGTGGTGGAGGAGGGTGAGGAGACGATTCTCGTTGCGTTGCAATAGGGATTTCTTGGCTACCGTAATGCTGCTGTTGCTGCTGAGTGTATGGTCGCTGTTGTTGATAGAACTGTTGTTCTTGTTGAGGTGGGGCTGCCTGCTGCTGCTGATAGAACTGTTGTTCCGGATAGTAAGGTCGCTGCGTTTCCTGGTTTCTGGATGGATGGTCGTTATTGAAGAATTGTTGAAAAGCATTTTCAGCGGGACGATCTTGCGGGAAATGTTGCCTGAATTGAGGCTGAAAAGTTTGCCTAAGTTTAGGCTGCTGAGACTGCCAGGGTGGAGGTTGCGGCTGATGTTGAGGCTGCTGACGCTGTGGTTGCTGCTGCTGACGCTGTGGTTGCTGCTGTTGATTTCTAGTCAGTTGAGGAGCAGCTCTAGGCGATGAAGACAACGATGAAGCTTCATTTTCGTTGACAATTGGTCTTTCCTGGCCTTCGATGTAAATTGGAATGGTACGAACCACGCTGGGGCGCTGATGCTGCAGAGGCGGTTGTTGTTGTTGCTGTTGCTGGGGGGCGTAATGCCGCTCTTGTTCGTACATGCGTGGATCATTTGAATAAAATTGTTGCCACGGCCCTCCATAATCTGGATATTGTTGAAAGAAACCTTGATTTGGCCACTGTTGTTGACCGTAATATAGAGGGTCCTGTTCATAATACTGCTGCTGAGGATGTTGCTGGTAGTTCTGATCCTGTTGTTGGGGATAATTTTGGGATGCGTGTTGCTGGTGGTGGTTTCCAGCAGGCAGCTGCTGGAAATTTTGGCCTGAGTATTGTTGCTGTTGCTGCTGCGGGGCGGGCGAGGAGTGACGGCTGTTAGGTCGCTGTTGCTGCTGCTGCATGCTTTCTTCCATGATAGGATCCTGTGAACGAGGGGAGTTGTTCTTGAAGGCAGACACGAAGGGCTTGGCCACGTTGTTGTGAGGGTTGATGGGCACAGTCGCAGACCGAGTCTGTGGAGCGCCACTGCCTTTGTTAGCTTGTTGGGCTTGCCGGCCTGTGCCGTTGCCTCTTTGGTCGATCATTGACGGTGGCGCAGAGGAACACCGAGTAGCTCGCTGCTGTTCCCTGTGAGCACCGCTTACGTCGTCGGTGGCTGAAGACGTACGGGTTGCGTACTGAGGACTCTTACGGACCTGACCAACACACGGAGGTTCTGGTCCACTCATCCCGCTCGTTTGGGGGTGAGGTTGTTGCGGAGCGTTCTGCTGTTGTTGTGGTTGCTGGGGAGGAGGCATCATGGAAGGAGGGGCTTCAGCCTCAATCATGATGGGGATTTCGTGCCCTATGGCCGCATCTAGGCCACCTGAACCTCCGGAGCCTTGCGATGACTTGTCGTTGTGAGGATGGTCGTACGAGGAATCGTCTTCCGATGTGGCGCTCATTGCGGACCCGCCTGAGTTGCGACGATCTCTCCAGGGGCCTCCACGACGGCCCATAGACAATGGCCAATTAGGGGCATGGCTCATTCTTGACGCCAAGTCAAGCATCTGTGGGTCGTCTTCAGCAAGCCAATGAGGCATCCGAGGGAAGGCAGAGTAGCCTCTGTTCCTCATGTCGTCCATTCCAGGTTCTGGCCCTCGAAGTCGTTCCTTCAGCTGCTCAGTCTGAGGGAAGACAAAACAAAATAAGTTCATCAAGTACATTATAATGCTGAATTGGGAGACTTCATTAACTAAGATAACGAATACATGATATATTTATAAATAATGATAAATAGCATCTTGGTGACGACTTCTTTCAGCGACTGAAAAATTAAAAAGATGAGAATAAAATATAAGTATCATAAATTAATTTATCATTACGACGAAAATGATACACTTCGCATAAGGCCATCTGATAAGTGTTGTCAAGTTGCTGCCGAGTTCAGCAGTTGATCTAAATATATAACAATAACATGAGGCCGAAAAGAGACGAATCATGTACCAGGTTGACCTGATGAGGATATTATTCTGACAACGCAGGATAAAGTTCGCTGTGGCAAAAAATAACTGAAGTTTCTTCTCAGAATTCATGCAATTTTTTAAATTTATCTATTTGAAAAGATTCCGCTCAGTTAAAAGCTTTTTTTTACACGCATGGTGAGACTCCAACCACGTAAATCCTTAGGGTGGATCGAGGACTGACATTGGGCGACACATCATCAAAAGTTAAGGAATCCATCAGGCCGCACGGCGTGACCGTACCTGCGCACAAATGAAGGAAAAAATGGAAACTGTCGATGAGAGTTGCGACCACACAGCATGTAGGGGACTTGGGAGATATTTGGTACGTTAGACGGCTGGTAAATTACAATGAATAAGGCAACACAAGACGTCGCTTATTCAACTTGGTAATCACAATTGAAGAGTTTCAAATTATCACTTCATCTAGTAAAAGATTGTTTTAGAAACAAGCATAAACGAAAACCAGGAAATCTAATTAAGTTCTTTTGGTGGTAAAAAATGTAACGATATTACATGCAAGATATTCTGTATATAATATTTTTCACTAAGGAGAATTGACTGACAATGCGTTGACGTAAAGCCATTGACTGATAAGAAACTAATAAGGCAAGATTCAGTTAAATAAGCAATAGTTAAGTTTTCCACTCGCAAAGCGTACGTACGAATATTTGTACCGACTCTTCAGAAATGAAGGGCGTTAATATAAACATTTAGCGTAACCAGGTTTGTAGTTTAATATCATGGTATTTGTTTTTTAATGATAATAAATTTAAATAAAGTTTGATACGGAACATTATACTATTTTAATACAGTCAACCACGTACACTCAGCTCTCTTCCGGTTCACGTTATAATAAGACGCTATTAGTAAACTTAATGTTAGGAATTTCCTTTGCGTTGCGGGATTAATTTAGGACGAAGACTACATATTGAATGAGCTAGCGTGTTAAGAAGTAATACATTACGACAAAGTTACATTACACATATTACTGGCAGGGCGAATAACTTGATTAGTAAATGCGGGCCACACCATGAGTTCCGGGCAATTGTGGTAAAGGAGCCATCAGCAGTGTATCTAAGGAATTTGATGATAGATCGCTATCATGCATTCATCATTGATGATAACAACACGATATATAAGACGACGGTAAGACGGTAAAAAGTTGTATTAACAGGTGCATTGCATTACAGCTAGACAAATCTACGTATATAAACCCGCACAAACTGCTAAACATAATCATCTCATTTCCCTATAGTTATTTCATTACTGGCCGATTCAACTCGAATGAAAAATCTACCGATATGCAGGAAAAAATTCACGGCACAAGGAATGTATACTTTGCTGTCTGATGCGATTCAATAGAACAACAATCGACGTACAAGCGAGGCAATACGTGGTATCAAGAAGGTGAAGCATATACAAATGTAATTGGACGTCATGCAGCTGATTGGCATCGCATAGGAGCAAGTACAGAAACCGGATCAGATTAAGATACAATTTAAACCAATCGAGTAGATATGGAGCATTTATTATAAAATTAAGCAACTTCCCTCCAAGCAAATTACTTTGAAAAAGTTGATTGCTAGTTGATTTCGTAGAAACAACGTAACATGCCAGGTGCGTATCCACTAAACTGGGTGATATGAAATGACGAGAAAGAAAGAAGAGAGAGAA